GGTACTACGGGTATGCGGGGCTTGTTGTAAGTGAAAGTAACCTCGGAATGGACGTGAGTGACCAGGCATTCTGAAATGGATTACTGAATCTCAACAGAGCTATCACCTTTCATCTTCCGGGCTAAAATTGTTTGCAATGGGATCAGTATAAGATAATAATAGATTATATTGCAAACATTTTTCTTCCATAAAAACACTGCTGGACAGTGGAAGTTGGATTGTGTATACATACATACATACATACATACAAACATACATACATACATACATACATACATACATATACATACTTACGTTTATAGCTGCCTATTTACCATTCCAATGCGTAGGTCAGCAACAGAATTTTCTCAGGAATGACCTTGATAAACTTACAAATCAATTTCAATGATAATATACTATTTAATAATTATTCTGCAGTTAACCATACTGACTTTGGTTGTGGTAACATTTGCAATATCTCCAGAAATAATTTACAACCCCAAAAGTTAGCGGCGTCGGTGGTGTAGTGGTGAGCGTGATTACCTCTCACCCCAGCAGGCCTGGGTTTAATCCCAGTCGGCGCCGCCAGGATGTTCTGAGGCATAACATCTTTGATCACTCTTCGGATGGGAAGTAAAGCCGTTGGTCCCCGGTCTATGAGTTGATGGGTCGATAGGTAGGGTCCAGGTGTGGGGGCTGCTTCCCTGGTGTCGGTAGCATTGGTGCTCAGCACCGAGCTCAGCACGGAAAACAAATCAACACTGAGGCAAAAGAACGTAAGAATTCCATTAGAACCACTTATGAATTTTAGCCACAAGAAATCGGTATGAATTTCATAGATTTTCCTTATGAAAAATAATGTCGACAAAAAAATAATAAAATGGAGTAGACTGGAACCGAACCATGGACGTTGAGATTACGGGTCTTATGTCTGGACTACTCGTCTGTCAACGCTTGAGTAAATGGAATGGCTGAACGCGTATAAGAGCTACCTTATGTTAGACGAAAATCTCTCATAAGTCGCGCTTATGACATTCATATGTGTCGTTCATAAGTCGAGCCTTATGAAATTCTTAGGTCAATTTGCCTCAGTGAAGGAAAAAAAACCCCAAAAGTTCTACATTCAATTACCAATTACCATAAAATATCGAACATTTACATAAAAATTAATTCCAATCATAATATTCCTTTGCAAACCACAGTTGATGTTAATTATGCTCTTGAATCTCTGACTACTTTTATAGTCAAATCAAGAGCTGCCTCAGTACCACAGTGCAAAATTAAATTCGATTCAATTATAATAGATGGCGATCTTCAGCTCTTGATCCTTCTAAAAAATGTTCGTAGGAGGCAGTATCAAAGAGCATGAAAGTTATTAAGAAGAATATACAAAAATAAATTAAAATCGATTCACTGCCCTTAGGATTAAACATTTTGAAACGTAGACGGTTGTTTTGGATTCTTGACCCCCCCCCCCCTCCCCTTGCGTAGACACTCGTCGATACATTTTTTTTAAATTATGCATGGGCCGTGGATGATTGCCACCCCCCCCCCCTAAACCGCTACGTAGTTTATGGACAGCCCCTAATGTGGCAAAATTAGACCCCATGTTCCAAATCCTATCTATCTGAATATTTCTGGAAAATATTTTTCAAGATTCCTGGGGAACTGATTTGGACAAAGTAAGAACTATAATTAAAAAGATTGAAAAACTCTTTCTATAGCCTCATTAAAAATCTCCCAGAGAGTACATATCTCCAAATATTATAAATTTACAATATGATTCACTTCCAGAATTCCCATATGTTTCTGAAAAGACGCACAAGTAATACCCTCTCCCGGTGAGAAAGGTGACTAAAAATATTCGTGGCCTTATTATTTAAGCGTTTAATCAATTCATAAGTTTAGTCAAAAAAAAGGGGTGGCAAACAGTATAAGCTTTCTCAGGCATGTTACACGCCTACCCTGACGTCATGAAATTGTACTACGTTCAGACTATACTTGATATTAATAACGTAATAACGTAATATAATATGTACTTTTAGTTTAGAAGTGAACCAAACAAATAAAAGAAAATGCAGATTATATCTGCCACCCCGTTTTACATGCCACATTGGCAACTGACTAAAAGAAAACTTTAAACACGCTATGAATCGTTAACCCAAATTTTTTTGTAATATATTAACAAACACGGTAAGAAAAAAGCACTCAACATTGAGTTAAAAAACTCAAACACTTAAAAAAATAAAACAGAATTCGATTTTCAGCTAAAAGTACTCAACCGTCATATTTTCACCGTTGGGAACTTTTAACTTATTTTTGGATGAAAATCATACGGGCCTGCGCTGCCTATGATGCTGTTATTTGTGTGTGCTCCATCGCCTTCGTTCGTGCTCCATTATTGCTTTCGATTGATCGTTAGGTAGATTTCACTCAAAGGTTCATTGATCCGAATTACTCAAAATTTAGTTTTCATCATTAATTTAATTTTACCTAGCCCATGGAAGCCACATGATGAGTGAAAGTGAACTAAATCTTTATACTAACTTTAAAGTACCCATTATTGGGTAATATATTTATAAATACCAATTTTAAAGAAAAGTGGCTAAACTCATTAATTACTATTTTGACCCATTAATTAGTATTTTTTACCCATTAATGGGTAACAGTTACTGATTAATGGGTAACATATACTCATAAATGGGTAAAAAAACTACTAATACTAGTTAAGCCAGTATTCTTCATAATGAACAATTTTTTACTTATTGATGGAAACTTTCAAATAAGCGTGTTGGGTACCTCGTTCTCCAGCGAAATGTGCAAAGGCATACAAACCATAGACCTTTTTGACGTTTAATCGTCTTTCTCTATCTAGCACACATGTATGAATTAACGGTTTGTTTTCCCACTAATCTGTTTCCCTCTTGCTCGCACTCGTTCGATTTAAATGGTGCAGTAGTATGCGCCGATTAAACGTCAAAAAGCTCTATATGTAAGCGATGCATTTAAACGTAGGTTGTTCCCGAATTGCAACATGCTCACTCAAACTAACTATATCTGTGTACTAGTCACCTTTCGCGTCACTAGAGCCGCTAGTATCAGGAAAAATCGTGTCTTGGGGATAATAGAAGAGTGAACCATATTGTTAATTTATAATGTTTGATACCTCGGTAAAATTATTTATCAGATTCATATGGCATACCTTCCTGATACATAGAAAAATGCAAAAGTTGTTCCAATTTTGTCAGAGCTGGATTTTCTCAGGATAAATATTGTCTAACATTTTCACTTCACAAATCATGCACCGGTGAACTGTTAGTGTGTTCTGGAGAACTTCTAAAGCGAAGTTCTAAGAACTTGAAGTGAAATATCAGTGCACTTCAACTACTGCTGTTTCCATCATTATTAATTTTAACTATTGGATTTGTGTTTCACTAGTGGACTTGAGTGTGCACAGCAAAAAAATAATTTTGATATCACATCAAAGTGGATGCACTACAATCATGTCGAAAATTTCATGTAATTTTTATGACCACATAAATAAACAAATGCAGTAAAAGCTGCGTAATGTCAGTTCATGTATTATATTAATGATAATTTTGTCCTTTTTAGCAAGTAATATTACACCATATTTTCGACATGATTGTAGTGCATCCACTTTGACGTGATATCAAAATTTTTTTTTGCTGTGTGTGTGTTTGTAAGCATTTACTACAGGGGTGTGCATAGTAGATTTTATTAGTAGGCTCACAGAACATCGGATGTTGTTCCGGGGCTCCCGGGCATGTTAGGATAAATTTTGAAGCAAGTTAAAGGGATTTTCGATAAAATATCCAGTAGATCAAAAAAATTATAAACTACATAACGTTTCCATAAAATATAGAAAGTTCAAATAATCTTAAATCGTTCCCAGAAAACTGGACATTTGTTCTTTTCGATTTGTTCCCGAGATCCTTATCCTTATAATTAATTACTTATAATTTGTATTATCTTTGTGTTTTGTTTGTTCGGATTTGATTTTGATTATTAAATTGATTATTTCAAACACTTAATTACTTCACATTTTGACACATCGCTAGTTATACAAGTCTATTGGAATTATCTCTGGGTCATTTGAAATTGTCACCTTCTTAAGTCTTGCAATGAGTTAAAAAATCTCAGAACTATAATTGAATTCTACTTATTCCTATCTGATTTATTGTCATACGTTGCTTAAAAGTTATCCTTTTCAAGGTACGAATACCTATAACAAAACAAAGTTGAAAATGCTTGGCACGACACAACTTTTCTTTTTTTTCATAACTTGACAAAAAAAGAAAGTCCACGTTGACATCAGGAGATGTGAGTAGAAGTTGAGCCTATATGTCCACGGAAAGGGAGGGTGAGTCTGAAGTCTTGTTTTTTTCTGGCCCTCATCGATATTTGACCATTTATTCAATTTGAAAGCTGAACGTTATACAATCAAGTCATACTTATTCAATTCAAATCCATCACGGGTTTCTTTTAGTATTTCACGCAAATAATTTGGTAATCCGTCGTAGCTGGCACGCGCGGTATTTTGAGGAACACCGTCGCATATTCAAAGCAACGTTTTTTGCATAATAAGCCCTTTCGTGCTTCCTCTATATTGTAACAAATTGCCCCAAACGAATAAGTCAAGTGTGTAAGATCCGTTGGAGATGCTACACAGCAAAAAAATAATTTTGATATCACATCAAAGTGGATACACTACAATCATGTCGAAAATATGGTGTAATATTACTTGCTAAAAAGGACAAAATTATCATTAATACAACTATCGAGCCGCCGAGTTTCCGGGCGTCACACTGCTCACGGTTATATCAATCTTCTCGATAAATGCTGTAGTCTATTTCATGGTTGATTTTATGAATAGAATAGAATTATGTTGCGTTGAACAATCTCTATGCCTTTAATGTCAAATATGGCGAATAAATAAAGACTTACCCGTATGTGATGGCGCTTTTCTTATGAATCTATAAAGTTTATCTTTTTTACTACAGTCTTTCATCTTCCACGTTGAGATTCATCCAAACTACACATGGTACGAGCAATGTGTGACATACAATACGTTCCCGAACGACACCTACCAAACCGTCTACAATTTTCTAGTTATGATGTTTATGTATGCACTGCCCTTATTGACTATAATATGTTCGTATGCATCTATTTATATGGAAATATTCCGGCATAGCCGAATGCCGAATTCTGGTATGATTACTACTTGCTTTTAAAAATATTGAGAGACATATTAGCTATCATTAACGTATTGTTTAATCTCATTACAGAAGGTTTTCGACGATCGAGTATCGATGTTCTCGGTCGCGCTAAACGAAGAACATTAAAGATGACCATTACCATTGTAATGGCTTTCGTAATTTGTTGGACACCATATTATGTTATGTCTATCTGGCAAGTAAAATAACTATCTTAAGAGAAAATAAAATAACATTTTTTTTAGGTATTGGCTAGACAAACAATCCGCGGAAATCGTAGATCAACGAGTGCAAAAAGGATTGTTTCTTTTTGCATGCACGAACAGCTGTATGAACCCTATAGTTTATGGTGTTTACAATGTGAAGCTACGAAAAAATAGGAAACCAGTGAGTATGAATAATTATGTAAAGAAGGGGGGGCGACCCCGGCGTAGTGGTTAACATCCTTACCTCTCACGCCAAAGTCACGAGTTCAAATCTCACCCCCGGACAAGTCACGAATGACCCAAGAGTGTTAAAGTGACTATAATAAAAAAAATGTAAAGAAGGAAAAATTAACATGCATGTGCTTCAAGGGCGTAGCCAGGTTTCGAGCTATGGAAAATTTGGCCGAATACCATTTTTCCGAACGCCATTTCACCGAAAGCCTTTGTGTTGCTGTGTTTAGGGGGGCAGTTTCCCCTCCCCCTGCCACCCTCTGGCTACGCCTACGATGTGCTTATTGATACTAAAGCCCAAATAGATAGTTGTTTAGGAAACATCCAAAAAATAGCGGAGGTTGCCAACACCATCCACTGTTTGGGAGAACGATACAGTGTAAAACTATATAATTCTTGAATTTCTCTCAGCTTTCAATACCCGACATCAGAATTTTGAAAAAATAAACGGTTTTTCATTCAAAAAGTACATTTTTCTTCAATTTTCCTCATATTCAAGCAAATATTTGCTTGAATTTGAGTGACAATCTTATTCGAGGAAAATATTATTCGGTAACCGTGGTTTTTACAAATATGAGTGAGCGAAATGCAAATATTGAGGTTACAAAACGTGCAGAGAAACCTTTATCGAGATGCACATAGAAGAGTTTTAAATATAGTACATAAATTTATATAGCCATATATATTGTGCATGCAAATATCGGAAGACGAAAACAAAATAAACACTGTACAATTAAAAAAAAACTTAATGCAGCAGTCATAAGATAAGATGATTAACCCTTTGTTACCTTGGGGTCAATTTGACCCCAGACCATTGCGAATGGCTGAGGCTGTAACATTTTTATTCGTCGATGGATTTTACTCATTCTTTCGCGACTAGGTGCGTCCACCGGAGCACTGTAAAATTTGATAAAATTTACATTAAAAAACTTGAAAAAATATTCATTGGAAAACATTTATTGGAATACTTACGTTGTCTGTAGGTACATATTGGGGTCAATTTGACCCCAAATTCAAATTGCTGTATCTTAACGAAATTTCAATGGATTTCTTAAATTTCAAATGTCATTGTTAAAATATACCCATGAAATGGCACATTTTGATGTTAGAAATGTTTATATCACGAGATCCCAATGATATTGGATGTTGCTTAGTTTTGTAAAGATGTTCAACAATACAAAGTCTTCAAAACTATGGATAGTGGTGTATGACAGAATTGACTCACTAGATGGCGCTAAAACGAAAATGGTCAAGTTGTACCATCAAAAATATACATTAAATAACGTTATCTACAGAACCTGCACATGTAGATGGTTCCCGTCTACAGCAAAGTTGTCCAGATGGACAAGATCTATCTTCAGAAAAAGAGTTTAGTGTAGGATTCACTCACCAGGCACCGCTAGACTGACATTAATTTTGAATTGATTGCCTTAACTTAACAGAAGGCTTCCGTCTTAGGTAAAGTTATTCAGATGGACTGAACCTATCTTCAGGACTAGAATTTAGCTCAGAATTGACTGACCAGGCAGCGGAAGTGTGAAATTAATTTTGAATTCATTGCCTTATTTTAACATATGGATTAGATAGAAGGTTCCCGTCTTGGGTAAAGTTGTTCAGATGAACTGGACCTATCCTATGGTAAAGAATTAAGCTCAGAGTTAACTCACCAGGCGGAGCTAGTGTGACAATAGCTTTTCATTGTTTGCTTTAACTTAACATATCGATTAGATAGAAGACTGTTGAGATGAACTGGAACTATCTTCAGGATTAGAGTTTAGTTCAGAAAACAGGAATGAAGAGGCACTAGTGTTTAACACATGGACTAGATAGAAGGTTTCCGTGTTCAACAAATGTGTTCAAATGGACAAGGCCTAATTTTTGGTAAAATGTTCGGCACAGAATTCACTCACCAGGTGGTGTTCGTGTAACATTAATTCAGAATGTTTTGTCCTAATTTAACATCTTAACTAGATAGAAGACTGCGATCTTACGCAAAGTTGTTCAGATACACTAGACCTATTCTATGGTAAACAGTTTAATTTGCACTGTTGCATCACATTGTTTTGAGTTTTTTTGGTTTTATTGGAAAGCTTGCCGAGATGGAAGATTTCTAATGTCGACCAAGATTTTAATTATATGATATATTAAAATAGGCATATACATGCTACGCCCATCATATTGAAGAACGCAGTCATGGGCCATCTATTTGACTTCCTCCGACAGGTTTACGTTGAAACAAGTTTGTCCATATTGTCTACTCCACCTTTAGTTTTTTTGTAGTCCAATATTATTGTCGGCTTGTTTCTCTGTGTCACATTCGTTCGGACAGTAAAATCACGTTTTTACCTTTCTTCGGCACGTAACTTACCAGCGTTAGTTGTCTATCGAAACAAAAAAGACTCGATTCTGTTTCCCTGTCTTTGACATCCAACATCTCTCGAGGAAGGTCAAGCTTGTTTTTGCAAATAGTCCCAAGGAGAGTTGTTTTCTGTAGGTTGCAATAACTGTTCAGCTAATGGAACAGAGGTGAAGAAGTTATCCATGGTAATATCATAGAGGTAACTCTAAGACCACTGGGTCCCGAAGAAAATCATTATTATTTTTGGCTCACTCAGTACCAGAACAACGGTCCCAAGCAGTCCCAAGCTATTTCACTCACCCCTGCATGTTCTGCATGAATCCACACACCCCTGATGTTATCTGTCAAACTTTCATAGCGAATCAAAACAAACATAGTGTAGTAATAGAATTTCAATTAGAATAGGGTACGTTAATCGTTTGCTTGGGACCAATAGGCTACTAAAGTGGTGAGCCAATTTAAAATCGTTAGTTTCGTATTGATTGTTGGTAATATTGCGACCTAAGACGAACAAAGTTAAATAAAAAAAAACAATATTTCTTAGTTATTTTTTCTCAACCACGGATCCAAAAGACGTTGAACGAGATTTAGCGAATAATTGGGTGGGTTCAAACCTTGAGCATCTAAAGTGATCAATTGACCAATGTAGATGGTCAAGTTTTGAACCCACCACATCATGCTTTTGGCGCTACTGTATATGGACGATCAAATGTAAAATACTGTGGTAGCCACAGCACAGTTCTGTCAAAACCTCAGCATTTTCATTGATCCATTGGCTAACTACTTGACTAGCCTATGATGAAATAAATTATGCTCTTGAATCTCTGACTACTTCTATAGTTGAAATGATTGATTGATTGATTTCTTTATTATAGAGACTCTCAGCCATTGGCTGGTTCGTCTCTGTTCATAGGCGTAGCCAGAGAGGGCAAGGAGGCAACTGCCCCCCCCCCCCCTAAACTCAGCAACACAAAGGCTTTCGGAGAAATGGCGTTCGGTGAAATGGCCAAATTTTCCATAGTAATTTTTTTTTCGCCCCTCTCTCCCCCCCCTCGAAACCTGGCTACGCCCTTGCCTCTGTTCTCTAAAGTTAAAGCAAGAGCTGCTTCAGTACCAAAATGCGAGGTTAAATTCGATTAAATTATAACAGACGACGATCTTCAGCTCTTGATCCGTCTGAAAAATGTGCGTAGGAGACAATATCAAAGAACACGCGATCCTGCCATGAAATTTATCTGGTGAAATTTGCAAAAACAAATTAAAAGCGATTCTCTGCTCTGAGGAACAAAACTTTTGAAAATAATGTTTCGAAATCAGACCCAAGCTCCAAACCCGTTTGGAAACTCATAAATTTTTTGAAAAAACCTCAAAAGCCTATTCCTGCGCTTAAAGAAGATGGTAAATTTTTGATCACCAATTCTGAAAAGCTTAGAAACTTGCTAAGCAATTCGAGAGTTCTCATAATTTCAGTTTGGGTCTTACTAGTCCTATTGAGAATCAGGTTGCTCGGAATTATCTGAATATTTTCTATCGGGAATTTTTTTTATGATTTCTGGTGGACTGATTTGGACGAACTATCAGAACTTTATAACTAAAAAGTTTCATAATATGAAAGGTCCTGGTGATGATGGAATTTTCTATATCCTCATCAAAAACCTCCTAGAGAGTACCTTGTCTTTCTTGGTAAGTTTTTTTAACAGATGTTTCCATTTCGCATACTTTCCTGATAAATGGAAAAATGCAAAAGTTGTTCCAATTTTGAAGCCGGATAAATCCAGCTGAAGCTTCTAGCTACCGTCCAATAAGTTTGCTTTCTTCAATAAGTAAACTTTTTGAAAAGACAATTTTAAATAGAATCAATACGAACTCAATTTTTGCAGATGAGCAGTTTGGATTTCGCCATTGGCATTCAACTACTCATCAACTCTTAAGAGTTACCAATTTAATTCCTTCAAACAAATCTGAAGGCTGCTCAACTGGAGTTGCTCTTCTAGGCATAGAAAAAAAAGTGTTTGGCATGAAGGTTTGATTACTAAATTGAAAAAAAAATAATTTTCCACTCTATATTATGAAACTAGTTCAAAATTATTTAACTGACAGAACTCTGCAGGTAAATTATCAAAATTCCAAATCTGAACGACTACCTGTTAGAGCAGGAGTGCCTCGGGGTAGCATTCTTGGGCCTACATTGTATAACATTTTCACTTCGGACCTCCCTGATTTGCCTCAGGGTTGCCACAAATGTTTACTCGCTGATGACACAGGCAATTCCGCTAAAGGAAGAAGTCTTCGTGTTATTTGCAGCAGACTGCAGAAAAGTTTAGATATTTTCTCTTCTTATTTACAAAAATGGAAGATTTCTCCGAACGCTTCCAAAACTCAACATATAATATTTCCACATAAGCCAAGAGCTTCCTTTTTGAAACCTAGGAGTAGTCACATAGTCACTATGAACGGAGTTCCAATTTTCTGGTCAAACCAAGTGAAAGATCATGGGTTAGTACTAGACCAAAATTTTACTTTAAAGATCACATTGAGGGCATTCAAGCCAAATGTAACAAATGTATAAAATGTTTGTATCCTCTTATAAACAGGAAATCCAAAGTTTGCCTGACGAATAAACTTCTAATATTTTAACAAGTTTTTAGACCGGCCATGCTATACGCTGTGCCAATATGGTCTACTTATTGCACTACCAGGAAAAAAATCACTTCAAAGGATTCATAACAAAGTTCTGAAGATGATTTTGAAGTTGAAGTTGGTACAGTACTATGGAAGTGCATAGAATTTTGAATGTTGAGACTTTAGAACAAATGTCCAACCAAATAATTAATAATCTCAGGCAAGAATCGTTGTAATCCTCAATTTAAACGATTTATTACCTTCATACTTAGATAAAATTTAGTATTAGTTTGTAGTTTTAAAATGTAAATTGTTATACTGACATGCAGGTTTAAAAAATACTGAATTGCCAAGGCAGGAACAATGTTACACTTAGATATATATCATAACAATTAAGGTTGGTAAGTTACTGTAGTAACTAGAGCACCTAGGTTAAAATGAAATGTAATTTATTTTAAATTTGGAACAAATAGAGATAAAAAAATGAATGTTACACTAGCGCTGCCTGGTGAGTGAATTCTATTCTAACTATTTTACTGAAGATAGGTCTGTAGATCATTCAACTAATATTTTTTTTTCATAACTCCATTGAAAAGATGATGTTAACCTAAAACAGACATGCCAAATATTTTTTTTTTTCTCTTTCAGGATGGTGTTAAGTCAGGCCAATCTTCCGTTATTCTTAGAAATTCAGCAAAATATACAAGGCATTCAGAATCTATCCGATCATCCACAGGTAAAAACCGTTGTTGTAGAGATCTTGATGTTGCATGTGCAATAAAAACTATTTGAGATATGATATTGGAGATAAAAAATACTTTTATAGATCGAAATACCATAATAGAGCAGTAAAAGTTAGCAAATCCCTCGCCGTGCTCAAAATTCTTATATTGTCTTGTTGTTGTTTCTGGGAAACTCGAGAGCCTTAAATATGGGTCTACTTAAATAAAGGGAAAGGATATCCATGTTAAATTTTAGAAAATAATTGAATTTATGCGATTGTCTTGCATCATTCTAAAAGCAATCATTCTTTTATTTTCGAATTTTAGCGCGTAAGGCAGTAAGTTATGCATCATTCGCTTTCTCATACTATTATCATAAGAACTGATGAACTAGCAAAGTGATGAATGATGATATTTTTAATGTGTGTGTGTGTGTGTGTGTGTGTGTGTGTGTGTGTGTGTGTGTGTGTGTGTGTGTGTGTGTGTGTGTGTGTGTGTGTCTGTGTGTGTGTGTGTGTGTGTGTGTGTGTGTGTGTGTGTGTGTGTGTGTGTGTGTGTGTGTGTGTGTGTGTGTGTGTGTGTGTGTGTGTGTGTGTGTGTGTGTGTGTGTGTGTGTGTGTGAGTGAGTGTGCGTGTGAGCGTGTGTGCGAGTGTGTGTGTGTGTGTGTGTACGTGTGTGTGTGTGTGTGTGTGTGTGTATTTTTTTTTTTTGGTAAGGAGGAAATCTTCAAAAAGGCTATCGTGCCACCGTTGACGACTGGGCGCACAGTCGCGGTGACACGGTGTGTGGGATTCTTACCGCACTAAAACCTCCTTAGACGCCTTGCCATTTTCCCCCGGAACCACTTGTCGTATTACTTCGGAGGGGGCCGTGCATTACGCACCTCACTTTACCTCAGCTAATTGGCGCTTCCAGTTCGCTGATCGTCTCTCCAATTTGTGAGCCATTTAGCTCCCAGCGTCACGTTCTACTCGGTTATCCCTGGTTGTGGATACAGCCTACTCTGACGGAGAGTTCTCCCGGCTTCGGCTTTCAGTTCGCACTTGTGTGAGCACATTACTACTTTCTAGTTGGTCTTCCCGCCATTTTCGCTGCAGCGCTGACATGATCTGCGTTACTGCTCTGCTGACGGCGTTAAAGGTGCCCTCCTCTCGACACATTTCTTCGACGATATTCTCCGTGCTAAGGGCGAGCATATCCTCTCGCACATCATCAAATCTAGGACATTCGAAGACCACGTGCTCTGGTGATTCTTCCACATTCCCACACTCCGGACAGAAGGGTGACGTTGTGTGTCCGAACCGATGCAGGTACTTCCTGAAGCAGCCATGACCAGACAGGAACTGCGTCAAGTGGAAGTTGACTTCTCCATGCTTCCTGTTCACCCAGGTCGAAAGAGTCGGTATTAGCCTGTGTGTCCATCTACCGTTCTCTGCTGCATCCCACTCCTGCTGCCACTTAGCCATCGACTCCGTTCTCACCATTTTTCGTACTCCTCTGGTTTCTCTCGTCATATAGCACTCGTAGTCCTCCGCCAAGGTGATGCCGATTGGGATCATACCGGCGATAACGCATACTGCCTCCATCGAAATGGTTCTGTACGCACTCACGACTCGCATGGCCATGAGCCGGAACGTACTGCTCAATTTCCTTTGGTTCTGCTTCGTTTTCAGCGCTTCAATCCAGGCTGGACCTCCGTACCTTAGTATTGATGAGGACACACTAGCCAGAAGACGTCTCTTGCTGCTGCTTGGACCAGAATTGTTCGGCATGATTCTGGCTATTGCGTTGATAACCTTCGTCGCCTTCTCGCAAGCATATTCGATGTGGCTATTAAAGTTTAGCCGGTCGTCGATCATCACTCCCAGATACTTTAGCATGCGCTTCGAAGCAATGGTGTGCTCTCCAACGGTAATTTCTGCCCGCTGCATTGATTTGCAGTTACTGACCAACATCACTTCTGTTTTGTGGTGGGCTATCTGCAGCTTCGCTCCTTGCATCGAGTTACCAATCGTATCTATCGCCTCGGCCGCCAACATTTCCACTTCTTCCAGCGTCTCACCGGTTACCGTCAAGACGACATCGTCCGCAAAGCCAACGATCTCAACTCCTTTGGGCAGCTTGAGCGTCAGCACGCCATTGTATGTGTGTGTGTGTGTGTGTGTGTGTGTGTGTGTGTGTGTTTTTTTTTTTTTTTTTTTTTTTTATAGTAAGGTTTAGGAAAGCTTCAAGAAGCCTGGCCTGTAGTGAAGGTGGCACGGTGTGGTATCCACTAGTTGCCTAGTGCAGCTCCACTAAAACCCATTCCTTACTCTCTCCTCTGCCTGGATCCCCCCGGGACCACTGTGAAGCGACTACTTCGGGGGGTGGCTGTGCTCATGCACTTGTCGTACTCTCAGCGCTAGCTGGCGTTGCTAGATCGCTGCTCTTCTCTCCATTTACGCTGCAGCTCTGACATAATCTGCGTGACTGCCCTGCTGACGGCATTCCAAGAGTCCTCCTCTCGACACATTTCATCGACGACATTCTCCACGTTAAGGACGGGCATCTCCGTTCGCACTGCCTCGAACCTTGGACAGTCAAAGACCACATGCTCCGGCGTTTCATCGACGTTGCCACACTCCGGACAGAGGGGTGACGCTGCGTGTCCGAACCGATGCAGGTATTTCCTGAAGCAGCCGTGGCCAGACAGGAACTGCGTTAGGTGGAAATTGACTTCTCCGTGTTTTCTGTTCACCCAGGTCGAAAGAATCGGTATTAGTCTATGTGTCCATCTACCGTTCTCCGTCGTATTCCACTCATGTTGCCACTTAGCCAATGACTCCACTCTCACAACTTTCCGTACTCTTCCGGCTTCTCTCTGCCTGTAGCACTCGCTGTCCTCCGCCAGGGTGATGCCGATAGGGATCATACCGGCGATAACGCATACTGCTTCCGACGAGATGGTTCTGTACGCACTCACGACTCGCATGGCCATGAGCCGGAACGTACTGCTCAGTACTGTTCGTACTGTTCTGCTTCGTTTCCAGCGCTGGAACCCAGGCTGGACCTCCATATCTCAGTATCGATGATGACACGCTGGCCAGAAGACGCCTCTTGCTACTGCTGGGACCAGCGTTGTTCGGCATGATTCTAGCTATCGCGTTGATGGCCTTCGAAGCCTTCTCACAGGCATATTCGACGTGGCTGTTGAAGTTTAGCCGGTCATCGATCATCACTCCCAGGTATTTTAACACACGCTTCGAGGCTATGGTGTGCTCCCCGACGGTGATTTCTGCCCGCTGTACCGCTTTACAGTTACTGACCAATAACACTTCCGTTTTGTGGTGGGCTATTTGCAGCTTCGCTCCTTTCATCCAGTTACCAATCATGTCGATTGCCTCGGTTGACAACACTTCCACCTCTTCCAGCGTCTCGCCTGTTACCGTCAAGACGACGTCGTCCGCAAAGCCAACGATCTCAACTCCTTTGGGCAGTTTCAGCGTTAGCACGCCGTTGTACATCCCGTTCCAGAGCGTTGGACCAAGGATGGAGCCTTGTGGAACTCCCGCTGTGATCCTAATCGATCTCTGTCCCATGTCTGTCTCGTAGACCAGAACCCGGTTCTGGAAATAACTCCTCAGGATCCTGCACAGGTAGTCAGGGACCCTCATTCTATGCAGTGCTTCGGTGATGGCCTCCCAGCTGGCGCTGTTGAACGCATTCTTGACGTCGATCGTTATCACGGCGCAATATCGATCTCCTCTCCGCTTCTGTTTGGACGCCTTTTCAGCTCTCTCGACCACTGTCCGAATTGCATCCACCGTCGATCTCCCTTTCCGGAATCCTCAATCCTGTGTGTGTGTGTGTGTGTGTGTGTGTGTGTGTGTGTGTGTGTGTGTGTGTGTTTGTGTGTGTGTGTGTGCGCAACCTGTCTATTTAGCGAAATATCGTGGTGGCGCGTATCACCCCGCCGGTGCGTTTTACACCATTTTCCCCTATAGGAAATAGTTTGCCATTCAATGACGAGTTCAATACACTGCTTTATTTCCAGTTTGATCCTTGATCCATTTGGAAAAAAAAAATCTTTTGGCCAGCTAGATTAGCCAAATACCCTCTTGTAGCTCGGAATTTTATTCATCAAAAAAAAATCATTTTGTTTTTTTCACAGAACATGAAACTGGCAACGCAGCAAGTTTATTTGTAAAACATTTATTGGGAATTTTCTTATTTTAGCTTGTTCTTCCAATCCATGGAATAAATCTTAAATCGAAATGCTAATTTCAAATAACAGACTGAAGTGGTAATTTTTATACGATAGATGAGGAGTTGAAAGTATAGAGTTGATAGTTCCGTTAGAGTACGGCAGTGTGAGTTCTACTTTAGAGAGTAGAAAGCGAGCAAGGACAACTTTTTAGGAAGGTACACCCAATCGGGGGATGTAAGATTCGCTTACAATTATGTGGGATTCATCATCAGAGGATGTTAGTGGAGACCGCATGAACCGAGGATGCGATATACCTAGCTGCGGTCCAATGCAAGAAAATTGGAGACCAAAAAATGTGAAGTGTATTAGTGAGATAAGTAGTTATGTCGAAAAACAAATAGGAAACAGATTGCCGACTGGACTCGAACCACGAGAACGTTGCGATTATCATACCTATGCTTTCTCCACTGCTCTCTACATGCTTCTATTTAAATATGGATAGCCTAAAAGCAAACATGAAGGGCTCATTTTCTCGCATACTCCACTTCGTATGCTTTTTCTGCTGGAGAGCTTCGAGGCAAGTGTGTGCGTCGTTCTACAATGTTCTACAATGTGCGTCGTTTTACAAGCTTACTGGTATAGTCGAAAGCGTAGATAGAAAACGAAATAAAAAAGACAAAAAACCATTACATCGCCTGCATGGTCAATTTCTAACATTCATTGTAATAGATTTTTGGTTTGCGTGTAGAAACGCATCAAAACTATGAAATGTCTTTTTATGTGAAATGTGAAGGTGTATTACAAAGCCGGCGCATTTTACACCGGATCAAGACGGTTTCTATCCCAAGATATCTGCATCTACAAACCTCGTCTAAGAGGTAGGTAACTCTTTCTGCAAGCGCTCGTTGGATCTTGGCATACAAATTGATGGTGTATATGCCTACCAGCCTTTTTTCGTGTTGATAATGGGATCTTGCTTGGACGACTTGATACATTTTGATCAAGGGT